AAAAAAATCATTATATCACATTGGTCTCATGATTAGTATAGCCGCTAGTATATCACACATGTATATGACTGATGCTGTGAGATGAGATCGCGACCTAGCTCACGTTTCACACATTAAGTAGAATACAAGGTCTACATAAGTACTTATATAGACCTTGGTAGAATGTTGCTTGTTGCAGCCTGTGTATGTTTGAAGTGTGGGCGCAGTTCGAGAGGAAGTTTTGTGCCGTCGAGACGCCCACAACATTCTGGCATCAGACCGGTAAGCTGATTGCCTGATTGTTCCCGCAATGCTTGTCTCTAATACCTGGAGGAGGTTCTTTATTACGTAACCTAATATACGTTGTCTTTCGATTGCTTTGAATAATTTTATTTATGTAATAGATATATGTAACATCATGTTTTTTGTCGATATCATAGGAATTGTTTCATTAGATGTAACGCCAATGTATTGAATTACAGGTTTGACCGTAATTAAATAAACCTTAAGCGAATATTATGCAGTGGTATCCGACACCCAATATAGGCGTACTTCGGCAGCCGCACTAGCATTTACACACGTCTTTATCTAGTACACAAGTGCGCACTCTAACACACAAAAACCTAGTAAAACAAAATACATAAACAGCATCAAACAGTTCACGGACAATATATTCTTATAATGTGGTAATATAAAATAAAACTCTCAAAAACATCAATCAAAATCACAGGTACACTAAAAATAATACATCGGATTCTGAAGGTAAAGCTGTTGCTGAGCATACGCCCGAGATGAAACAAAATGCTTCTGCATGGCGATCCTTCTTTCGTCTTCGTTGAAGAATTCCAGTTGCTTCTGAGCCTCTTGGGAGAGCCTTCCCGGTAAATTGCTCCAGGGCATGCCGCTCTGTTGGATGTATTTGAAGAAGGCTCGTGCAGTCTGGCTTGCGGAGAAGGGCGAGGGGCACGGTGTTCCCAGCCTCTGGTACCGGTTGCACACGTGTGGGATGTCCATGCGTCTGGCTCTGTCGTGGTTCTTGAAGGATATCTGACAGGCCGCCAGGATGGCCTTCTCGTCCTCCGGAGTGGCCTCGATCATAAACTCCAACGCGTGGTCGTGGACGTTGGTGCCCTTGAAGCGGTACCGCGAGCACTGGACGAGCCCCTTGTGCCCCTCGGGCGTCGCCTGCCACGGCCCACCTGCGTGGCTGCTGTAATACCTGGGCAGCACTGACGAGTAGTCCTTGTTGGTGAGCAGCAGACGCGAAGCAGTGTGCGTCGGCGCCGTCATCATTTCCACCCAGAAGCAGTACTTCCACTGAGTCAGCAGAATCTGCGCGTCCAAGGCGAACTCCACGTTGCCGTACCAGTTGGAGGGCTCCTCCTCCTCCTGGGTCTCGGCGCCGAACCAAAGCACTTTCAAGTTGGCGCAGGGGTGGTTCGCGGGCAGCTCGCGGGAGTCGATGCTGCTAAACGTCTGCAATTTCTTTGGCTTCATCCTCCGGTTGAGGCAGGTGTCGAGGGCCTCGGAGAGGTGGAGAACTCTGACTACGTGAGTGAAAGGGCGGTACGAATCAGGTCCCTCGTCGACATGGCGGCCGCTGCCAGGCCTCCACAGGATGGTTTTCCCGCGTTTCTTCTTTCCTGCGGGTCCCTCTCGCGTCTTCAGAAGCTGGTCCTCCCAGCTCCACTCCGGCCCCTAAAAATTAAAAGAAATAGAGATAAGTAGAATATATTCATATCTGCACTGATATTTCTACTTCTCGTCCTACACTCCAGAAACTGGAAATGTCAGACAATAACACTAATTACCCTAATAATGGGACAGTGAAAGAAACGAAACAAAAATGAAAAAAGACATTCATAACAATAACGAAACATGTACTGCAGTACATAATCTAGTTTTCAAAAATAAAAAATACATGGGGACACTGGAAAAGACATTTTGCTTCCTTATCGCATTTTCCTATATTAATAATGATAATAAACTGAATAAATAAATAATAATATCGATGATGATGATAACGATGGTGATGATGAGGAGAAGGATGTTAATGATATAACGATGATGATGGTGATGATGACGATCATGATGAGGAGAATGATTATGATGATAACGATGATGATAATAAGGATGTTAATGATGATAACGATGGTGATGAAGGAGGATATAATGAGGATGATAATGATGAGGATGAGGATGTGAATTATGATGGTGATAACGATGGCGATGATGGTGATGATGTTAATAATGATGATAACGATGGCGATGATGATGTGGAGAAGGTTGTTAATGATGATGATGATGATGATCATCATCATCATCATCATTAACATCAACATCCTCATCATCATCATCATAATGTGATGCTAATGCCAGCAGCAACAACAGCGGCAGCAATAATAGCAATAACGATGATTCCTAACGTTCGTGATAAAAGGAAGATGGAGAAGAAAAAGCTCGTAGTGTTAGACATAAAGGCAGTGAAATTTACGACAGCAGTGAAAGCGAACAGGGAAGGTGGCGGTTATAGCGACGTCAAGGATGATTACGAGGACGAAAAAACTAACTGCTCGTTTTGCATCTCCACCAGTATTTTTCTGAGTGATTAGTTTATCATTACTATATACGACTATGTACTTTTTGATAAATAAATTCAATATTAACAGTTTTCTTTCGATACCCTAGAGCAGGGCTCGGCAACCTTTTGAACATAGTGTGCCAGTATATAATTAATGCCTTCTTCCTAATAATTTTTAAATTTAGCTGACCATAATAATAAGACTCACTCACTCTCTCTCTCTCTCTCTGTCATATTTTGCTGTTTAACTTTTTTCTTTGCTCCTCTGAATCACACAGCGTGCCATAGACAAGCGCTCTGCTGGCCAAGACTGGGACTCGTGCCAAAGGTTGCCGACGTCTGCCCTAGAGGATATCACTTCTTGAATGACTGAAGTGAAAATAAAGAACTTTGTGCTATTCACACAAAAACAGTATCAATAAATAATCAATAGAATAAAAATCACAACCAATAACAATTACTAATTACCAGAATACAAGACCAAAGGCAGAGAGACAGCAAGAAAACCTTAATGATAATAACACCGATGTTAATTACCATGGTAATTATAAACTTGATAATAATAACAACGATGGTGATGTCTGAGCAATTAGAACGGCAAAAATAATGATGAGCATAACAATGGCAAACGCAGCGCCAATAATCAAGAGAATCATATGCATGACTTTGTAGCAAACTAAAAGCGGTGAATAGAAATAGATTCGGTAACAGTGAGAATAGACATATCGGTGATGAATCAGGGAATGTTTTTATTACTGATAGTGAAATAGTGACGATGCTAGTGATGGCGAGAAGGAAAATGAAAATCTACATTATCGGCCGCATTCAGAGGCGCTTCAGTCGCAATTTTACAATCTCAAAGCTCACGACTACCTCCCACCCCACAATCCTGTGCGCACGCGCGCGCGCGTGTGTGAGAGAGAGTGATTGAGTGAGTGAATGGGTAAATGAGTGAGTGAGTGAGTGTGTGTGAGAGAGAGAGAGAGAGTGAGGTGTGTGTGTGTGTGTGTGTGTGTGTGTGTGTGTGTGTGTGTGTGTGTGTGTGTGTGTGTGTGTGTGTGTGTGTGTGTGTGTGTGGTGTGTGTGTGTGTGTGTGATGTGAGTGAGTGAGTGAGTGAGTGAGTGAGTGAGTGAGTGAGTGAGTGAGTGAGTGAGTGTGTGTGTGCGTGAGTGCATGGTATGTGTGTCTGTGTGAGTGAGTGGGTGAGAGGGTGAGTGAGTGGGTGGGTGAGTGAGAGTGAGTGAGTGTATGTGTGTGAGTGAGTGAGTGACAAATGTCCTTTACGTACCTTGCAGCATTTCTCTTCGTAGTCTTCTCTTCGGCCACCTGTCAATTATTGTTCAGAAAATGCCACAGCATTAATGGATGTCATACGAAATGCCTAGTCAACCTCATACAAATTCAATGACTAAACAGTTGTATATCTATTCATGTATAACAAAAGGTTCTGTGCGAAATCATTACTAAATAATGATCACGGAGTCAAATCATACATGTGTGGGTTTCTTTGTCGCTAAGATTGAGAGCCGGAAGGGATCCCGATTTGGGCGGCCGAGACGCGGTGCTGGCCGCCCTGGGACCGACGGTGACGATCTCGAGGCGACGCGGTGTGTCGGGCCGACCTTTCTGGCTCGTCTTCCCCTCGGGCCGACCTTTCTGGCTCGTCTTCCCCTCGGGCTGACCTTCCCTCCCTCCCCATCCGTCCTCCGCACCCATTCGGGCTGAGATAAACTCCATCTGCAAGAAAGAGTGATCGTCATAAATGGAGTAGTAAACGCTGCTCGATAAGCAAAAGTAGCGGCAATGGCAGTACTTGTACCACAGTATCTAACAGCAAAGTGCTAAGATGTGAGGATTATGTTATTCACATCAACGAAAAAAATAAAGGAATAACTTTTAATCTCTTTTACCGTTAAAATATATATATATTTTTTACTGAAAAGGGATAACGTTTCTCGAGTCATCCTAAGAGTACTTCGAGGTCTGGAAATATACATCGTTAACGTTGACGCAATATTTCTCCGCTTTGTTTTGATGTGACTTCTTGGTAGGCTTTGAGGCCTCTTCTTCGGCTGACACTGAAAAGCACGTTGACTCGAGACAAGCACCAGTCCCAATGGCCGAAAAAATGTCCGCTTCCCGCCTTGCGCTTACCTTGGCCTATGTAAACAAACCAGTTTCATGGTGATTCTTTCTCGGACATTTCCCGTACGCTGATGCAATTTACTTTCTTAGATATATGAAACTCAAAACAAGTACGAGATACAATCTTTGTCGAGGTCACACAAAACTGCGTCCGTATACTATGGTATTTTGGAAAGATCGCGCCTAGTTAATATCTGGTAATGCCGATTTTATAGGTTGTTTGTTTAGTTCTTATATCCCCCTATACCATAAATGTTCGAGTTGATCCTATTAAACATTGCTTTTTATCCCGAATCCCAATCTAAGAATATCTTGTAAACACTTTCAATATACTTGCTCAAGTTCTTGCTTCTCTTGAGTTTATTAAACCAACTCCAGGCCAAAAACGTAATATAGTAATATAGTGGCAGAATAAGCTGACAGCACATCAATTCAAAATCAAGTGCTTCTTGACATTACATCCCGATTATTCTAAAAGTACAAAACATGAAGACTTGACGGTACTAAGCCGAGTCAAAACAGCTGGGTGAGAGGTAATATTCTTTAATTATCATTCTGCTAGCACTCCGCTATGTGAGCAATAGAACTGCCTAATGGAATACTGTTTTTTCTATTTCATCAGGCAATTTCTTCTTCCTGCTAGCGCAACGCCTTATCAAATATGTAGTGACTACTCTACAATATAAATGCGATTCACCCGTCAGCATAATTCCATTAATTACATGACACGAGTATTTTCCTGTATTCGACTGCATAACAACCCCATAAACGAGCACAAGTCAGCAGGCGACTGACCAATGGCCAACAGATGGTGACGAGTCGTGGTGCCCGCCACTTTGTATCGTGTTTCCCATATCCAGCGGGAAACATGGAACTCTAGAGCAGCCATTGCGAAACAAATTCGGGTTTTGCTCAACTGGTGAACTACGCAACAATTGTGAGACATGTTTAATTTGTTGAGCAACTGCTTCAGATAGTTTTAAGCAACAATGTATCTTGGTATGGCCTAGGCTTTAGTATGTGTACTCCTTAAGGAATGGGCTTTCATTTAGCACTTTTCGCCATTCTCTTCATAAATACTACAATTATCAGCTATTCATATTCGAACATAGAGTCATCTTCAGTGTTGTTAATAATCATAACATATATCATAATGTCACTTCCATTTGACAGAAAAAACACTCTTCATGTTTGTATTTGTGCAATGGTAGAGAAAGGAACTCTGAGCAGATTCTCCTATCCCATTCTGTAATGTTTAGTTTTAGAGAGGGAGGGGGGAAGGAGAGAGAGAGAGAGAGAAGAGAGAGGAGAGAGAGAGAGAGAGAGAGAGAGAGAGAGAGAGAGAGAGAGAGAGAGAGAGAGAGAGAGAGAGAGAGGAGGGGGAGGGAGGAGAGGGGGTGAGAGGGGAGAGGGAGAGGGGTGAGAGGGAGAGGGAGGAGAGGGAGAGGGAGGGAGAGGGGGAGAGGGAGAGGGAGAGAGGGAAGAGGGAGAGAGGAGAGGGAGGGAGAGGGAGAGAGGAGAGAGAGAGAGAGAGAGAGAGGAGAGAGAGAGAGAGAGAGAGAGAGAGAGGAGAGAGAGAGAGAGAGAGAGAGAGACTGCAGGGACGGTCTCCAAAACAAAACACAACGCTTTTTCGCGCACGCGCACAACACTGGTGGGCAAAAGATCAACAATGACCGCTGAATCAGCTGTGGGAACAATATAAAGCTACTACAAATCTCTTGGTGTAAATGCTAAAAAACGTCATGATGAAAAACAAGTATTCTAAAGGTACAGAAAGCTTACCAGATCCTTTCTCCCTTTCTGATGGCCGGTCTGAAAGCCCCAATTGTTGGCCCGATGTTAGTTTTGGTGATATTTATCTCTACCTAATACACACGCCTGGTAGTTACACAGAAGATGAGTTGAAAGCTTACAAATCACTCGAAGCTTTCAAATAAGTATTTTTCTTAGGTTTTAAAATAAAAACAGGAAAATGGAATTTTGTATTCGACATAAGAATACAGCTATCTGTATTTGCTGGGCCATACTAATTGTTTGGTTGACCTTATAAAGGTCGGTCAACAAAACAAAAACATTGCATAGTTATGTGCATGCGCATCTCACTGATGGGTAAAAGCAAGAATCAGCTGTGAGAAAAATGTCGGTGTATTATAAATTTCGATTCGGCGCCGAAAAACAGACGTAAATAAAAGTTGCGTTATTCCAAGGGTACAAAAGGTTCCCAGAACCGTATTTTTTTATCAGATATTTGGTCATAGAGCCCCGCAGAATGACCTGATAATTCGGTGACATGTATCTGTACTTTATACAAACACATAGTGTTTACACACATATTTATACAAGTCTCTGGAAGGGTACAGGTAAGTAATCAATACTGTTTATAATAAGACTGTGATATTCTTTCTTGCTCACTTTCTTGGTTTTTAGAAAATCTGCTCAAAACAGGGGTTTTCTCAATATTTTTTCGGATGTTATACCCAGACTTTTCTAAAAGGTTAAATTTACATTCCACGCAATACTCATCCTAATACCTTGAAAAGATTTAAGCAAATTTCCAGTTGTTGAGAGGACAGTGCAACAGTCATTAGATTTACTATCTTAATTTTGTTCTCATTTAGTGTTTTCCGATCTTTGTTCAGGGAAAGTTTTAAAATCAAATTAACTGAAACTTAGTGAAAGAAGATACACACTAGTAACCAGTTAGTCACCCACATCTATCACCGCATAGGCCTATGCCTAACCACGGGGAAATACATCCCCTAGAAAGAGTTATGACGATATAACCTAACCGTTTAAATTTTAGAATATCTTTATAGAAAAGCTATCGTACGTATCATTAGCACAAGCTCTTACATCACTCCTAGGCGCAGGATCACAGTTCTTGCGATTAGGTCTTTCGGAAAACAATTAAAAAGTTGAACCTTTTTGCTGTCCATGTGTACATCCAATAATAATGCAACTGTTTACCATGTCGAAGTTACTTAAGTTCATGGGATTTTGTTGTTTTTGCCCACCACTGCCTCCGATTGATCACGTGACAGCTCTGTGACGTCACGATGACCGGCCCTACAACCTACTGCATAGTATATTAAATCATGCAAGCTCCATGTTGTTTCCAATCTGGCAGTCATTATGAAGAGGGCAGCACACCTCACTCACTACCCCCTGCGGGAGTGAGTGAGCGCACTCCATCAAGAGACCTAGGATCACTCAGACAGCGACAGCCTGACCTCTGGACCGCGCGGACTTTCCCGCTTAATCTCCGCGCGGCTGCGGCCTCGCTAGGCCTCGGGTACTCCCAGAGCCGACCAGACTCGTATCGTGTTCTGTTTCTACTCCTGTGTGTAACTCTTGTCAAAAATAAAAATTAGCCGTTTAGGTAGTATCACTTCTGCTAACCAGTGTCAGTGTACAAGGTCACCGCCTTTTACACACACACATGACGCGGGATTTCCGAGTAGTGAGAACCCAACACGTACACTACGCGTAGCAGATTCGTCCGCTTTGTTCGGGAAAGGTGTACTTTACATCGAAAATAAGCCGGTAGGGAAATACTGGTGATATCTTTGGTACTTCTAGTTATGACAGGATAGCTTGCAGAACAATCCAACATGATAAACAAAGAAATCCCTTTTATCGAATGTTGATATTCCTCTATTAAAGGCTGAGTGAACTAATATTTAGCTTTAGAGAATACATGAGCTGCTGAGTAAAATCTTCCCTTATATATTTGATTCACAATGTTCATCTTGAATTGCATGTGATGTTGAACTGTAAGTGACGTGTAAGGAGTTATGCGTCAATATCCGTGTAGTGTGTTGCTAATGCAATGTGATGAAAATGTAATGACAAGTTTAAAAACATTTTACCTTTATATGTAGATGATACTTCTGTCAATTGAGTTTCTCTGCAGATAATGGCAGTGTAATAACTTTGTTTAAATGCCAACGCAAAACATATATGGACGCTTCAACAGATCAGTGAAGCAGCCATGACCACTTTCACACTGCACCAACGAGCCAACTGCACCGCTTCACATGGCAGGCGGATGTTTTATCTGCGCTACCTCTGCGCATGCGTCCAGCCTGTTGCTACGCACGAAAGAATTTGTAACTGCAACTGTAGTATTTTATGCTATATTTTTTCCTTATGATTGGGGAAATGTATTTAGTGTTTCATTATGATCATCATATTATAGTTATTACTGTCAGAGTCCGGATGTTCCTGTTTTTCTTCGTATTTTCCTACTTAGGAAGAGCGTTGCTGTTCCTAATATTAGAGTGATTCACACTGTGATAAAGAGATAAGAAAGATACCATAATATTTTCTTATCGGATATGTGTGGAAATGAATTGCATACCAAATATGCCTGATGGTGGTGTTGTGTCAATGATGTTAAAGATAATATTACTCATATGATTGATGATAACATTAATGATAATAAGCATCGATATTAAGGTTAACGGTGATTATCCTATTACTAATGATTATTCTCATAATACTATTATTGATGGTGTTAGTAACGAAAGTATTATGAATATTCACTATTTCCCTGTGTTGATATTCTCTTGTCATTGTTGCATTATCGTCACAAGACAGCATCATCATACAACAGTGTGGTTTTTATTGGCATAAAGATAAGAATGGCGATAATAGACATTTATCTGTAGGGCAAATACTTGCAAATATTTCGTCAGTGGGCGGAGGATCGCCGTTGTCGGGCGATGATCATAATAAAAACTACATTTTGCTTTTATTCCTTAATTGAGCCGAGTATTCCTGCAATATTTCGCTAGGAAATCTTTCTTCTTTCTCTTTGCCTTTTCCAGCTTGTGTGCGGGGTAAGAATTTTTGACCAACCTCCTCCACTCAGCCCGATCCCTCCACTCGTTTCCTTGCAAGTTCTTTTCTTTTAAATCACTCGTTATATTTTTCCATCCATCTTCGTTTCGGCCTCCCTCTACCCCGTCTTCCATCCACCTCCGATTCCATTACCCTTCTGCCAACATAATCTTCTCTCATTACGTGTCCGTACCATTGTAATCTTTCGTGTACTTTCTTTGAAAACTTTTCACCAGTTAGGAAATATTGAAATATTGATTCCATTAGGAAATATTGACCCATCAGGTATCTCTTGATACCTGATGGGTCTGAAAATGCAAACTGGTCCTATAGAAAAATATTTATACTTAAACTTATTATTTCGATGACTACTTGTGATGATAACCATAATAGTAATGATAACGATAATAACAATACTGATGATTATGATTAGTATTAATGCTTGTATT